GCAATTCATTCATTTTCTTCACATGCTACTTATTTAGGCGCTCAGCGGTTGGCGGCTTTGATGTGGAGTGGTGAAATTATAAAGACATTACATATCATAAAAATATAAATGAAAGAAAACACAGACCCTCTTTTATATCAGGCTAAATTGACTGCTGTCATATTAAGGGTATTTTGTTTTATAAATTATACCCGTTTCAAGGTATTCCCTTGAGTGAGTCACTGCTTTGTCTTTTATTTCCTTTTTCTTCCTTCCTTCCTTTTTTTTTTTTTTAAACAAAATAGGCTTTTTCTTTCCAGTATATTGATGTAAAGAACTACAAAGGGCTCCAATATAGAAATTAATGTCTCTGATACCAAACTTCATTTGGAATCTGCCATATTGGGCCAGTAAGGCAGTCATGTCATGCATGACTTGTCAATTCTAACTAACATTGTTGTATGTTGAACATAACAAAAGAGCTTTGGAATAAAACCAAATTCATGAATTATATTCTTCAACATTTAGTTTCCTGAAAAAGTTCCCCAAGTATGACTACCTGTCTTAGTCAGTTTGGGCTGCTATGACAAAATACCACAGACTATAAACAACAGATATTTCCTTCTCACAGTTCCAGAGGATGGAAGTCCAAGATCAGGGTGGCAGCCTGGTTGATTGAGAGCCCTCTTCGGAGTGGCAGACCTCTCCTTATATTCTCACATGGCAACTCTGTCAGCCCTCTTTTATAAGGACATGAATCCCATTCAGAAGAGCTCCACTCATGACCTAATCACCTCCCCAAGACCTCACCTCCTAGTATCTTCTCTTTGGAGGTTATGTTTCCAACACAGGAATTTTGAAGGGATACAAATATTTATACTATAGCACTACCTCTTTAATATTTGCTTCATGAAGCTAAGATTGCTTATACTAATAACTCCTTCAATAACCTATTCTGTTCCTATTCTTCATAATTGCACTTAATCCTATTTCCAGGTTTGCTTCCTGCTGGGCGGACATGTCCAGCAAGGAGCTCCAAGATAGAAGGCAGAGCCACCTGAACCAGGGGTGTCACAGGGACCATGTGTGGGGTTGGCCTGTACATAGGATCAGGTAAGGGACCTTTTTTTGTTCCTACTGGAAAGACATGAAATTGAGTTTGTCAAGCAGATGAAGGAGCTGGGAGAGAGTTGTGGGGTCACGGATGTCAAAGTACAGAAGAGAAGAATGAAGGAAAGATTCAGCTGAGAGATGCTAGGTCAGAAGGAATGAGGGGAGTAGGAGAAATTCTAAGGCCAGCATAAGGTACAAAAGCAAAGATGGGCTTTGTTGTGAACAGTCTGAGATAAAATTAGGTGCAAGATCTTTCTCATTGCTTATTATTTTTAAATGTTAGAAACTCTCTTATTATTGACCATTTTTGTCTTGAGTTGGCTGTCATCACTAGCCAAGAATAATGCCATTTAGGAGTAAGTGTGTCCTGTGATTTTATGATTTGACTTATTATTTTATTCAGGCTTCAAGAAAGACTTATTAGTATTAGAGTATTCAGTGAGAAATACAGGTTTCCCCTCTCCATTCCTTCCCCTCCTTTTGAACGGATCACGGCTTGTGTTGCACCCTCAAATAAAAGACCCAACTCCTCAGTTTATTGAGCTGAAATTATCTTGGTGTTCTTCAGCCTGTGCCTTGGGGTTCAGGGGTGGTTCATCACTGGGGAGTTTCTCCTAGTGACAGACTCCCAATGAATACCCAGGCTCTTGACTCCCAGCCTGAACTCCTGTCCTTGGGCCATATGGCCCTTGGTTTAGAGGTAAGGGCCATGATGGCTTAGACACCCTCACCCCTCTCCCCCCCTGCCTTATTAGAGCTTATCTGGTAACTTTGGCAATGATTTGCAAATTACAGCGTAATAAGTTCTTAATCCAGTTTTATTTTAACATCTTCATTAATTATATGGAAGAAGGAGACAACCACCCGCTAATTAAATTTTCAGATGTTGCTAAATTGGGAGGAGTTGCAAACCCAGCCGAGAGCCAAAATGCAACATAAACGAACCTGGAGAAGTTAAGGGGAAGTGCAGGTACCTCTACCTCAGAATGAGGTTAAAATTAGAAACAAAAACATGGAGGTTATCTCGAAAGGAGATGTGGCAGCTCCGTAAACTCAGGGGTGGGGAACAGCCTCAGGGAGTCAGGCAGATCATGGACTGTGATGGAGCAAAGGCAGGAGGCTCAGGGTGCCAGGGTGCCAGATGTCCATTTTCTCCTCCCAGAAAGGAGCCCTGCCTCCAGTCTGGTAGCTGTGTCTGACAGACTTCAGGCCCGATGCTTTTGGTCACCATGGCCTGTGAAAACAACGAGAGGGAGCATGCCAGCCACTCAGGGGGTGTGCAAAGATTTGTTTCTTGCATTCCTCACAGTGCCTTGTCCCTGCCTGGGCACAGGGCAGATGCTAAAGATTGAATTAATTAATGTATGTGAAAATGGTTTAGAAAAAAATAAAAAGCACTATGGGAAGAGAAAAGATTATTGTTTTTCTTTACAGCAATGATAATTATTATCAATCTTTGTTAAGTTAAATTTAATTGAAGTTGATTAGGGGGAAAAGTGGCATATGTGGGCAAAGAGAGCAGAAAAGAAACAACAGCCAGAATGATTAGCGTGGGTTTCTCCTCCTAACTGCACTTGCTCCATTTCTAGGGACGTTACTTAGGTTGCTAGGAGGCTGAGGCCCTTTGATGACAGTGACAGACCTCTGTCCCAGGAGAGGACACCAGAGGGCTTTTATTAGCCCCTTGAGGACAGGTTATGTGGAGAATTCAGTTAGGAAGAGTGGCTGCTGGGGCCAAGGTGGAACATTTGAGCACTGTAAAGATCGTCACCCTCACATGAAGGAAACATTTTTGACTCCCTCACCCTACTCACGATGGCTTCCCAGCTTTAGTCACATTGACCTTCAGTCAAGTCCCCATCGTGGACACATAGTCTCACTGCAGCATAACTGTATAATTCAAGCCATACACATTCATTCCTGGCCTCGGCCACCAAATATCACCACAGATGCTACTGTGACCCCTATTAGTATCTCTTCAACTACATGCCATTGGTTACAAAGGATGCTAAATGAATGAGTCTGTGAAAGGGATTTCCAGGGCACCCCATCCCCAGAGCTGGATAAAACCCTGAAAGATAGTCCTTGTCTTACTAAAAGGAAGAAGCAATTTCACCATATGAAAAATAGCAGAATCACTAAGATTTTCTCTTCCTACAGTAGAGTTTTATTTTCTTCCCTATACTAGATTCTGATAGGCCATGGAATATTGCTTCTCTTTTCCTCATATCTTCGGCAATGACTAGCAGAGGGTAAACACAAAAAGGGAACTCAGTAACTGACGGATGGCATTTTAGAAAATTAGTGCTTCTCCCAAGTGCCTACTTATCCCCATTTAGGGGGGAAAAAAAGGACAAATACGCTACCTTTTACAACTCTCTGTAAGTAACAAAAGGCTGTAGGTAAATAAGACACATCTTTTTAGTCCAATAAAAGGAAGGTAGATCTTCCACAGAAAGCATCAGGTAGATGGCTCTGCTGAGAAAGCATTGGCTTTTGTCACCTCCTGGCTCCTACCTGGTAAGTCAGGAAGTGGAAGAAATGAAAATAGCCAACTAATAAATTTCGGATTATATGGAAAGAGGCTAATTGGTCTTTCACCTTACTTTCCCTGTCATTCCTTCAGGGATTAGGTTAAGCCTCTGTATATGTTTCATCAGGGAGCCATCGGGATTATACCTCGCCTCTCTGTCTATCATGCTGACAGCACCTGTAATGTTGACTCAATTTTTATAAGCCCTACCACTTGTCACGCAACATCTTGTAGTCAAAACAGGTATATAATTTATGGCGCCCAAAGCAGTTGTTAGTGTAAAAGAATTAACTAGGAAGGAGGCATGTGCACTAGGACAGTCACTGAATCCTTAAATGGCTATTCCAGCCTACTTTGTGGGGATTGGGTTTTTTTCCTTTGCAGTTCCTGAGCAAAGGATAGACACATTTGTCATTCAGCATGGTGTCATTTCCCACTTAGGAAAGAAAAACTTAAAAAAAAAAAAAGACTACCTTAAGTTAAAAAACAAACAAACAAAAAAATAGTAGAGAGAGCTAGGGTTTGGCAGTGAGCCTAGGGAGTCAGCATCTAGGGAGATGCCTGGTGAGTGAGGGACAGGATGAGGGTGAGTTGCAGGGGTGGTGATAGATTTGAGGTGTCAGGTGGAATGAGGCACAGGAGGAGTTGAGGCTGGTTAGGGTTGTCAGGATAACTACTCTCAGGATAACTAGTGGGACACTTTCTCTGGAAGTTGCAGGCTAAGATGGAATAAGAAGCTTGAGTCAATCTCTGGGAGATATCAGGACAAGCATCTGTAGGGTTTTCTGTTTCCAAGGATGATCAAGCATAGCCAGTGTTCAGGCTCTGAGGTTCTGCAGGGTGGGATAGCATCTCCCAACTGACCCAGGAATTTAAGCTTGAATTGTGTCCCCCCCCCCCAAAAGATATATGGAAGTCTTGACTCCTGGCACCTGAGAAGGTGACCTTATTTGGAGATAAAGTCTTTTACAGAAGTAATCAAGTTAAAATGAGGTTGTTAGGGTAAACCCTAAATCAATGCAACTGGTGTCTTTATTATATTATCCCTTATATTAAAAAGGGGGAATCTGGGCACAGAAACTTGCACATAGAAAAACATCATGTAAAGATGAAGGTAGAGATTAAGGTGATGTGACAACAAGCCAAGGAATACCAAAGATTATTAATGAACCTCTGGAAGGTAAGGGAGAGGCATGAAACAGATTCTCCCTCAGAACCCCCAGAAGGAACGAATCCTGTGGTGTCTTGATCTCAGACTTCCGGCTTCCAGAATTGTGAGAAAACAAATTCCTATTGTTTAAACCACCATGTTTGTGGCACTTTGTTACAGCAGGCTTAGGAACCTAATACCTTAGGAAAGGTCAGCCACCCTCACCTGAATGAACCCATGGCTCTGAGGAAGTCACATTGGCTCAGCAGTTGCAATTCCACAAGGGAGGTATGATGTTCTTCACTCAAACAGAAATTTGTAGAGTCTGTCTGCAAGAAGAATCAGTGGTATTCAGACTTGTTCTTTAACTAGCATTCGAGAGAGATTAAGTAATTAGCCAAAGCCTACAGAGAATACATGGTGGTGGTGGGGCTAAGATCCAGCCCTCCTCTGTGAGGTACTCTATCTAAAAGTATTGCTCAATGATAATGTCAGGATGCATAGTAGGCTGTTAGGGGAATTCTTCTAGGGATCGGTCTCCCACCTTTCAACCCTTACCCTTGAGATGTCTTTCACATCACTCTACATTCATCTCCGCTTTTTCAGGCTCTTTTGATCTCAAGACAAGAGAATTCTTCTAAGCACGAATCATTTGTCAAACTTCCTCAGGAATGAAGCTTCTCACATAAGCAAATGTTCTAGGTTCCTGATACTCATCCTTAAAGTTGCTGTATTAATCTTCAAAAAATGTAACAAGTGGGATTATTTCTTAAATAGATCACGCAAGTTTAGACAGATATTCTTATTTCCTTAAGCACCATTTAAGTTATCACGATGGCTTAAGATCATTATTACTAATACCGATACACTCTGCTGTAACACAGAGAGGTTTTCTCTGTTTTTATGCCCCAAGCAATATCTAAACCGCTGTACTCTGTGAGGTTTTCAGTGGGAGAGTGTGGGAAAATATTGTAGTTATCCAGCGCTGCATAATGAATGACCTCAAACTTAGTAGCTTAAACCCACAATTTATTATTTCTCTCAATTCTGTACATCAGGAATTCAGACAGAGCTCAATTGGGCAATTACTTTACATCACATAATGATGAGCAGGATCATTCACGCTGTTGCTTTTAGCTGAGAGCTTGGCTGTGGCTGGGACATCCAAGATGGCACATCATCCTCCGGAGCCTCTTGCCTTTTTGTATTTGTTAACAGCATGGTGGGCGGACTCCAAAAGTAAAGACACAAAGGCTGCCAGTCCTCTTAAACTCTCTGGGGTCAAGCATTCCAGAATAATACTTCTGCCACATTCTGTTAGGCAAAGCAATTCCCAATGTCATCACAAGTTTAATGAGAAAGAGGGTGGTCTCCGACTTTTAGTGTGAGAAGTGATATGCTTTATAAAAAAAAAAATAGAGGACTTCTGGCAATCATATTTCAAGATGGCCACCGTAGAGATTAAATGGCATTAGATAAAATCTACACCAGCAAATTACCTCTAGGAACCCCTTCCTTTGCCAATGTGGAGATTAAAGTAACTGAGTACCACGTTTTAATAGCTGTGTTGCCAGGTCTGATAGATATCTTTGGATCCTGAAATTTAGGCTTGTAGCCCAAGTGAGATCGATCTTTTTCTTTTTTTAAAAAAATCTAAATCATCATAGAAGGAAATTAAGGTGATAAAGACAAAATTCTTATTACCTAACTAGAAGTCTGGAACCCAAAAAAAGAACAAACCCCAAAAGTCTCCCTTGTTGCAAAGACCTGGAAGGGGATAGCAGCTGTAGGGAGACAAAACATTTCCTTTCTAACTACTCTTATTTCTGCTTCACATCTCCTTTGGAGGGAGTCATCACCTGTGACTATTTTGTGCAATGGTCGTGTATGTTTTTAGTCAAATCTTACACATGCTTTTCATTTATGGTTTTGAATTTTCTGTGAGAAACTAGGAAATGACCTTATATAATGTGCCCAAATAAAAAGTGAGGTAAACTCTAAAAATGAGAAAAGATCACCTTCCATGAGAAGGTACATCATGACTAAACATTTTGAAATTTATTTTGGCTATTGGGGTTATTTTAGTTTCTTCCTAGAGTCTCATATATGTTCTAGTCTACTGTTCCCTTACATTGTACTCATCTTTAGGATCACCGGCAGAGTTTTTGAAAAACACATATTTCTGGGTGCACATCAGTATCTTATTAGATTTCAGGGTTTGGGGGGATTGGGCCCAGCACTGAAGGGAAAGAGAAAAAAGCAAAGGAGGCAGAGGAAAGAGAGTGATTTTATTCTGAAGATATAGGAAGAGATCCATATTTTTTTTCTATATTTCAGAAGTTGGAGAGTGAAATACAATAGTTGGTCAAAGTTTTGATGGAACAGGTCCCCGACAATGTATCAGATGTAAGTTCACAGAGGTGGGAAAAGCCCATGAAGAGGAAGTACTGATCTGTTCTAAGGCAGGTATAGGTGGAACTATGATAGGATTGGTTTGGGAGTGGTCAAGGGTATGTACCGGAAAGGAAAAGAAGAAAATGTTTGGCTTAAAGAATAGGGTAATTATAGAAAACTTGCTTATCAAAACAAACAAACGAACAAACAAACAAACAAAACAAAAACCAAGGTATGTGAACTGTGTTGGGGAGGCAGGCAACTTCCTGAGGTAAGCTGTTTCGGACCATAGTAACGACTGAAGTTGGCACCAATGGTGCCAATTCCTCCTTGGTAATATCAAAATCAGCCTTAATCTCCCTCTAATGGCCTCTACTGCTGAAGTTGTTTATGTGGCAATTCTCAGGAGTGGTTTTATTCTCCCCCTTTTCAGCATTTCCTGATCAACTGAGCTTCAGAACACCAGTTGGATCATGGTGAGGACATAGAAGATATTCAGACCTAAATTCTGATGCCTCTCGAAGTAGCGAGAATCATTTCTTTGGTTAATAATATTTAGCAGTCAGAGTAGAGTAGATGGCCATTTTTGGTGAGGCAGAGATTGAAAAGAAGGGGATGAGCACAGATGTGGAAGACTTGACATTGTTACCTGTTGATGTTGGTAACGGCCCATGAATTTAGAATGATAAGAGACGAAGGCATCTCAGAAATTACAGATGAAGAAACTGAAGGCAAGAGAGTAGTTACTTCTTGATTCTTCAGAGAGAATTCACAGTGGAATTAGAACAAGACCTCAGTACTCCTAGCTATGAGCCCAAGGCTTTTCCCTCTGCAATAGTTTCTTTGAACCTCAGCCACCATCATGTGTTTATAAAAAGCAGTCGAAATATCATGTTGGGGCAAGGGAGATGGAGGGAGTGTTTAGATTCCCATTTCACTAACTCAGATAATTTGATAGGGAGTCATCTTTGGCTTTATTTTAAGTTGTAAAGTTGACCTAATTGCCTCTGTAGTTGTTTTCATAGATTTTAATCACCAATGGTGGTAGCATGTTAATGTGAGGAACACCCATCTTTCAACCGTCTGAAGATATTCAGTAAGTGTGGAAAATGAACTTCTCTGAAATTCTCTTCTTTCTTGGTTGAAGAAGAGCTCGAGATTATGGACAGGTATATTTGGCATGCAGAATGTTACAAGCAAAGAGTTGTATATGAGGCTGCGTATTTTGAGAGGTGGTTTAGATATAGTTCAACTTATGCATTGAGTTTCTAAACCTAATTTCTAAATTCTAAATTTCCAAGCTATCACTAAAGTTTGTGTCCTGATTATAAGCTACATGTACCATGTGTGTTGGCTTGAGATATTTGGGAGGGCCTCACCAAGGAGGCAAGACTCAAATATCAAAGGTATAATAAAAAGAGTGAGGTATGTCCAGGGAGTTTTTGAAATAATGAGAGTGTTTTGTCTTTTTTGCTAGATGGAGGATATATAGATGTTTGTTTTGTTATGCTTTATAATCTATAGATACTTCATTCTTTTGTATCTACTCAATATTTTATCACCCTCTCAAAATAAAACAAAACAGAAAAGTAGTGAGATGGAATTTTTAGTGGGAAGAATAAGGGAAGTAGTTTATATGGGTATATGAGCCAGCTATTTGAATAAAAGGTGAGGACCCCGAAGTGGGGAAAAAGGGATTGAAGAGCAAAGTGAGAGACAAGACAGAACAGGAACTAGTACAAAGCATCTGAAAATGCCTTGTATATTTTGAGCTCTGAGCTGAGATGGTGTAATTTAATTGCAAGGTAATATGTTAAGTCAAGAGCAGCAGATTTTTAGCAACAAGTCAATAGTAAATATTCTAGCCTTTACAGACCATACTGTCTCTGTTTTAACTACTCAACTCTGCCTTTGTAAAGTGTAAGCAGCCACACACAATATATAAACAAAAGGGTACATCTGTGCTCCAAAAAAAACTGTATTGATAAACACTAAAATTTGAATAATTTTTTTACACCATAAAATATTATTTTTAATTTTTTTCCAAATAGTTAAAATCACTTAGCTCACAGGAAGTACAAAAACAGGGTCAGATTTGGCCCACGGGTTGTAGTTTTTCTACCCCTAAGTTAAGTGGCTATGATGCAATAAAGTAGTGAAACTGAGTGTATAGTTTGAAATATTAATTTTATCTACATTAACTTCTTGTCTCCATCTTTCTAATTCCTAGACTCTCCTTTAAGATTCAGCTTAATTTAGGTGCCTGGGTGGCTCAGTCGGTTGGGTGTCTGCTTTCAGCTTGGGTCATGATCATGGGATCCTAGGATCCAATCCAGTGCTGGGCTTCTTGCTCAAGAGGGAGCCTGCTTCTCCCTCTCCCTCTGCCCCTCCCCCCTGCTCATGTGAGAGTGCAGCACGGATGCGCTCTCTCTCAAATAAATAAATTAAAAATATATTTTTTAAAAAAGATTCAGCTTAATTTTTAAAAAATATTTTATTTATTTATTTGACAGAGATCACAAGTAGGCAGAGAGGCAGGCAGAAAGAGAGAGAGAGGGAAGCAGGCTCTCCACTGAGCAGAGAGCCCGATGCAGGACTCAATCCCGGGACCCGGAGATTATGACCTGAGCAGAAGGCAGCGGTTTAACCCACTGAGCCACCCAGGGGCCCTCAGCTTAATTTTTTGACTTGATTCTTTTAGAGAAATTTTAGATTTTCAACAAAATTGAGAAGGAGGTACAAAGATTTCCCTTATAACCTCTGCCCCTACGTATGCATAGCCTTCCCCATTGTTAGCCTCACTCACTGGAGTGGTACTTTTCTTTTGTAATCACGGATGAAGCTACACTGACATATCATAATCACCCAAAGTCCATAGTTTACCATCAGATTCACTCCTGTTATATACTCTGTGGATCTGGATAAATGTATAATG